GCGGTGAAAACATTGCCTGCTTCCTGGCCTTCTCCTTGGGAGCCAGGACCGCTGCAGTGGCACAAGCTGAGGCTTCTTCACTGGCTTCGATGCGAGCAACAGCACCTGCTGTTGCAAACCGTCTTGGTTACTGGCCATGTCTCTCACACAGAATCACACACATATACACCATCAATCTAATAATAACGCTCGTAAGAGATTATTGTAGCACGTGCGCCTTAGCATGTGTGCCTTTAACTATCATTTTTGCTACAGTGCAGTTTTTCCAACAACTGAAAACTTGCCCTGTGCCTTATGACAGCTCTCTGTTGCACACTTGTACCTTGGGCATCCTTGCTGGGGAAAAAGCTTGCTGGCTGGGTAGTACGCTCTTTGGCCCACTTCTCATCCTCCGCCTGGTTACTAGACGTGTCTTTCATAAGTAGGAGCTGAGGCTTCTTCACAAGCTTTAGCACGAGCAACAGCACTTGCCCTTTGCCATACTTCTCCTCTCCCTTGCAAATCTTCTTCGTTGCTGGCCAAGACCTCCACGTCCCAGGTAGTAGGTTCTTTGCCCCACTTGCCCCCATGCCTTATTATGACAGCTCTCCATTGCACACTTGTAACTTTGGAAGCCTTGCTGGGGAAAAGCTTGCTAGGCAGGGAATGGGGAATACCCTGCCTGCTTCCCACCCACCCTTCTTGGGAGCAGTGGCAGAAGCTGAGGCTTGTTTGGCGCCAGCATCAGCACTTGCCCTCTGCCCTATAACCTCTCAGGTCCTTACTCCTCTCCCTTGCAAACCTTGGGGCTCTTTGCCCCACTTTCCCAGTGCCTTATAAGACAGCTCTTGGTTGCACCCTTGTATCTCTGGAATCCCAGGAATTGCTAAGCAGGGAATGGGGAATACGGTTCCCTGCTGCCCCTCCACCCCCACCTGACTCTGACTTTACTTTGTAAAGATTGTTCTTTCAAACCCTCTGACACCTTCTTCTTGGTTGAAATCAAAATGCTGCTTACATCTCCCTCTTGCAAAATCTGAAAAAACCTTCCATTTGAACTTTTTAAAACAGCTTTTGTTCAATACCGTCTTCTTGGTTGCTGGCCAAAGACCTGCCCAGAGTTTTACCCTTGGCACCTCAGCAAGCAACCAAGCAGACACGTCCCGACATGACCTTTGCATTGCGGGTAGTAGGTTCTTCACCCCACTTGCCCCTGTGCCTTATAAGACACCTCTCGGTTGCAGCCTGGTATTTTTGGAAACCTTGCTGGGAGAAAGCTTCTTGCTGGGTGGTGAAAATATTGCCTGCTTCCTGGCCTTTTCCCGGGAGGCAGGACCACTGCAGTGGCACAAGCTGAGGCTTCTTCACTGGCTTTGGCACGAATGTCAGCACTTGCCCTGCGCCACAAAGCCTTCTTGTTGGCTGCTGGTGCTTGGAATTTTTTTTCCCATCGGCGCTGGCCACAAAGCCGTCTTTGGTTGCTGGTGGGTGGGAAGTGATGAATACGCTCCCTCCCTACATCTTGCCCATTGACCACTTTAGTAGACCAACCAGCCAGTATCATCGATATAGGATTTCAAGCTGGGCAGCTTCACTTTTTTTGCTGTGGTTTGCACATACTCCCTCCCTAGCATCTCCTTGGTGGTTACTGACTGCTGGCTGGTGGCCCTGACACATACACAAACCCACCCGCCATCAATCTAACAATCAATCAGTCGTTCAGTTGAGAGCAGTCCATTTCCCTGAACTGCAGGACATCTCTACATTTTCTAAGGAGGCTGCGGCTTGAGTTTCTCCTCTGGATGGTGGAGGCCTTCGGTTGCTGAAGTGGTGGAAGCTGAGGTGCTACAGCCCGAACTTTGCACGAGTTCTGCAGACCCACATAATAGTCGTCTCTCCGTCCTCCTTGTTACTGGCCATGTCCTGCATCGGTACCAGGCTTGTTCACAGTTTGGTGCAAGCAATGCTTCTCCGTTCCTCAATATCACAAATTCTTCTTGGCTGCTGGAAAAGACCTCACCTCCGTGATGCTCTGGCACACTTCCTCTCTAGCAACTCCTTCATGGTTACTGGACAGGTCTCAGAAAATGCACTTCTGCACAGCAGGAAATCGCTACAGAAAATCCTCATTGACTACTGTAGCATGTGTGCTTTTAAAAATAATTCTTGCTATAGTAGTCTATGAGGATTATATTCGATTAGGTCACTGATCTGGACCTGAGGGGGCCCCAACTGTGCATGGGGAGGGGGCACCTGAGAGGGCCTCCTTTGGCCCCCCAACCCCATCCTGCTGGGTGGGACATTTTCAGTAACCCGGAAGGGGGTGTAGGATGTCTCCCTCCCTACACCCTTCTCGCCCACCTAGCCACCCACCACCTACCCAGGGGCCCCCTCCACCCCTCCCTGAGCTTTGTGGCCAGCAAAGATACAATGCCTCTTTGCAACCATGCCTGTGGCCCCCACAGTTAGGGGGCTTGGTGGGTGGGTGGGTGGGTTGGTTGGTTTCTTGCAAAAAAATGCT